GCTGAGCGCAGGCCGCCCAGCTGGGTCTCGGCTGCGCGCCGCTGCGCCTCCACGCGGGCCAGCTCGGCCTCCAGCCCTTGCGCCCGGCCCTCGGCCGCGCTCAGCCGCAGCCCCAGCTCCACGGCTTCGGCCCGCACCGCCTCCAGCTTCAGCTCCAAGCTGCGGGCGTGGTCCAGCTGCAGCTTCTCGGCGCCGCGTGCCTCCTCCAGGGAGGCCAGCAGGCCTCGCTCGCGGGCCCTGAACTCGCCCTCTTGTTCCTGCAGCTTCCTCTGGGCTCCCTGGAGCTGGGTCGGGCAACGCCGGGAGGTGGGGGTCAGCAAGGCCACCCCCAACCCGACGCCCCGCCTCCCAGGCCCAGCCTGGAGCCCACCCACCCAAAAGGGGCTGGCACAACACCTGCTTCTTTAGTGGTCTCCACCCAGGCAGTTTGTGCAGGAATATCCACGGGAAAGTGGGAATTAACTACTAGAATCTTTTTTTCTCTTTTTTCTGTGTACATGCCTTGTAATATATACAATTTATTAGTAATAAACTAACAGCCCACACTTCCCTGGGCAGGACTTATCAGTGCCAGGACTAAGAACTTTCCCAAAAAAACTTTACCACCATGAATCATCTCCATTTTACAAGGGGGGAAACTGAGGCACAGAGCAGCTGTGCCAAGGCCAAACTGCTAGTAAGCTCGGAGCCAGGATTCAAAGCCAAGCACAGTAGCTCCATGGCTGTTTTCTTTCTTTTTCCTTCTTCCTTCCTTCCTTCCTTCCTTCCTTCCTTCCTTCCTTCCTTCTTTCTTATGTTTTTAATGTTTATTTATTTTTTGAGAGAGAGATTGACAGAGTGTGAGCGAGTGTGAGCAGGGGAGGGGCAGAGAGAGAGGGAGACACAGAATCCGAAGCAGGCTCCGGGCCCTGAGCCGTCAGCACAGAGCCTGACGCGGGGCTTGAACCCACAAACCGTGAGATCATGACCTGAGCTGAAGTCGGAGGCTCAACCGACTGGGCCACCCAGGCGCCCCTCCAGTGGCTGTTCTTCCAACCATTAGGCTGTACTGTCTCTCAGTGCACATAACTTATCAATAAATCACACAATGGGGCATGTACTAAAAAATTATTTCTGATGGAGTGCATGATCCCACACACCCCCCTCTGGTTTAGAGGATAAATCAACCACTCACAGCCATCAGTTTCACTAGAAACCACCATTCACAGAGACCCTGGATGCCAGGACTTATGCTAGGGCCCCCATCCCATCAGTGCTCTGAACCACAGAGAGGTTAAGTGATTTAGTCAAGGTCACACAGTAGATGCACTAAAGTGACAACAGCCAGAAAAGCGGAATGGAAAGAGTATAGGCTTGGGAGTCAGACAGACCTGGGTGGCTGTGTGATCTTGAGTAGACCCCTTGACCTCTCTGAGCCTAAGTGTCTGGTTCTCTGTGAAAAATGGGGTAAGAGAGCCTGCCTCATTAGGCTGCTGAGA